GTTTGAAATGGACTTTTTCCATTGTGATCCAGCTTTCTTTTTCTGAAACTATTACTGAGATTTTCCCTTATTTTGACAGTCTTAATGGATTTAAGGTGCACAAGATGAGCATGTGATCTGGGTGGCCTTTTCTGTATGGCTTTTTTTTTTTTTTTTTTTTACGCGGGCCTCTCACTGTTGTGGCCTCTCCCGTTGCGGAGCACAGGCTCCCGACGTGCAGGCTCAGCGGCCATGGCTCACAGGCCCAGCCGCCCCGCGGCATGTGGGATCTTCCCGGACTGGGGCACGAACCCGTGTCCCCTGTATCGGCAGGCGGACTCTCAACCACTGTGCCACTAGGGAAGCCCTCTGTATGGCTTTTTTCACCAAGGATGCTGTCAATATTCATCCATGTTGTAACATACATCAGTACTTCATTCATTTCTCTCCATTGTGATTAAAAATATGTAACATGACATTTACCATTTAGACATTTTAAGTGTAAAATTCTGTGGCATTAACTACCTCACATTGTTGTACAAATATCCTCACAGTCCGTCTCCAGAGCTTGTCATTTTTCTCAAGGGAAACTGTATGCATTAACTAACTGCTCTCAGCTCCTGGCGACGACATTCTTTTTGTCTCTGAATTTGACTTCTGTGGATACCTTATGTAAGTGGAATCGTACAATATTCGTCCTTCTGTGATTGACTTATTTCACTTAGCATGGTGATGTCAAGGTTCATCCACATTGTAGCATGTGTGAGAATTACTTTAGCTTTAAAGGCTGAATCATATCCATTGTATTTATTCACTCATCTGTCAAATGGACACGTGGGTTGCTTCTACCTCTTGGCATCATTGTGAATAATGTTGCTATGAATATGTTTGTACAAATATCTGTACATACACTGAAGTGGAACTGGAAGATCATACATTAACTCTGTTTAAATTTTTGAGGAATTACCATTATGCTTTTCTACAGTAGCACCAACATATTACTTTATTCCTGTATATGGCAGGATAACAGGACAGTTTATGGATCTACCCATTTTGTTTATCCATTCACCCTTTGATGGCCGTTTCAATTGTTTCTACCTTTTGGCCAATGTGAGTAGTGTTGCTGTGAGTATTCATATGCAAGTTTCTCTTTGAACACCTGTTCAAACAGAGTGGTGTTCTGTTTGAACACCTGTTCAAACAGGAGTGGAGTTGTCAAATCATATAATTGTATTTTTTATCTTTTTGAGGAAATGCCAAAATATTGTAAACATAGGCTGCACCATTTTCCATTTCCCCAAGCAAAGTTTAAGGGTTCCAGTTTCTCTACATCATTGCCAACATTTGGTATTTTCTGTTTTTTGATTATAACCATTCCATTGTGTGTGAGGAGTACTGGATTATGGTATTAATTTGCATTTCCATCACGAATACTGATGTTTGCCAAATTTTCACGTGTTTGTTGACTATTTGTATTTGTTGTCTGGAGAAGGGTCTATTCAAGTCCTTTTCCTTTTTAAAATTTGGGTTATCTTTATGCTGATTTGTAAACATTCTTGATGTATTCTGAAAAACAGGCTTTTGTCAGATATGTTATGTGCAAATGTCTTCTTCCATTCTGTGGGTTGTGTTTTCTCTCTCTGGATATCACCTTTTGATGCACAAAAGTTTTTCAAATTGAGGAAGTCTACTCTATCCATTGTTACATGCAAATTGTAACCTTCTGCCTTTGTTTATATGTACCTTCCGACCCCAAATGTAAGATACCTGGCTTCCACTTCTGTCATATACTGAATTCATTGCTTGCTCCATTCCAGATTACAGATGTGGTAGTTTCAGTATTGTTAGCTCCTACCCCCATGGGAAAGAACTTATAATAGAGTCCAGTATTTACAGATGATACATTTTGCCTTTGCTCTCCAGTTCTGTTCTTTTCCATAGTTACTTAGGCCATCCCATTTTGTCCCACCACCAACAGTGAGTTTTTTTCATACATTTCTAAATCAGATTCTTTGTCACATTCTGTATTCATCCTGTGACACTCTCACATCCTGAATAACTAGATTTGAGTATGTTATGATGTATTTGTTGGGTTGTAAATATCTATGTATTTAGACAAACACACAGGGGCAGGTCTCCATCACTAAAATATCACATGGGACATTTCAACCCCCACCCATAACTTTTTCCCATGTTTATTTTACGAGTTCCAGAATGTCATGGAAATGGGGTCATACAGTGCGTAGCCTCCTCAGATTCGATTTTTTCACTTAGCAATATATGTGTATGATTCACCCATGTTTTTTGTATGGGTTGATGGTTTGTTTACTCCTTCCTATTTCTGAGTAGTATTCTGAAACACGTGTATAGGAGGAAAAATAATTTTCCCTCTACTCTCCTAGGTTCTTGGTTGAAAACAGCCCCTACCCCTTGTAATAAAAGATTATCAGGAGAAAAACAGAGAAGTTTAATAGCATTCATACCTCCTACATGCATGGGAAAGTTAAGTCCCTGAAATGGCCCAAGCCATCACCTTAAGTAACATCTTCGTTTAGAAACAGAAGAAAACAAGTGTTTATTTGTTCTGCAGACTTAAGTCAGGCCTTCTCCTTTGATAAGTTTCTTGAGATTTAGTCATCCTTCTATTCCTGGTACAGAGAGGGGAGACAGCCTTTTAAATGGAGATTTCCCTTATGAATGTAAATTTCCCTCACAAAAGGGAAAACTTGACTTGGTTTTCAGAAATTGTGTCTTCTTTTTTTAAACAATCAGGCCAAAGTAAGCCTTACGCCAAACAGATAGATTTTTGGGGTGGCATCGTTTGCTCCCCTGACGTGGATGTACCGCAGTTTGCTTATGCGTTCATGTACTGAAGGACACATACTGTGATGTCTTTAAGTTGTTAGCCATTATGAATAGAGGTGCTGTGCTTAATTGCATCCTTGTTTTGTTTGGACCTAGTTGTTGAGAGCAGCTGTCTTAAATGCTGGAGGCAGGCTGAGGGCTCCTCAGGTGAGATTTGTTTAGCTTTGCTGTACAGTCATTTCAGCAGCAGTGAAGGGCAGTTTCCATTGCGCCTCATCCTCCATCAGGCGGTGGTGTCATTTCTTTGGAGGTCAGCAGGTTAATGCTATCTCATTGTTGTTTTAAGTTGTCATTCCCTAAGGGTATAAGTTGTTGAGCACATTTTTGTATGCCTATTTACTATCTGTACCTCTTCTTTGGCCAGGTCTCCATTCAGACATTCACCCATTTTTAATGGGGTTGTTTGTTCTAGAGTTCTTGGTATAATTTGAGTACAAATCCTTTATCAGATAAGTAGTTTGCAAATATTTTTCTTTCCGTTTGTGGCTTGTCATGGGATTTTTGCCTCCATTTCAGTTTGAATGTTCAAATTTAGTGGATTCATCAGGCCTGCCAGCTGGGAGCAGAGCCTCCAGTGGACTGTAAGTGACAAGGCCTGCATATACCAGCTGGCAGAGCCAAGTTCGCCTCTCACTTTTGAGGCTCCTGCGTGCTCAGCTGGGGGACTTGATTCCATGCTCAGACGTGGCTCCTGCTGCTGCTGACAGGAGCCTGGTCCTCTCAGGTCTTGCCAGGGCTTTGGCTTGTGGACAATGCCTGGCTGAGTCGACACAGACAGAAGTTCCATCTCCTCAGGACATACTGGACCTTCACCTTCTGGAAGACACTGGACCTCATCCACGCAACAGGAACCCAGTGTCTGGGAGGTACCACCATAGGGGTAGAAGGTGAAAAAAAAAGTGGGGAGAAGCTTCCTGTTTGTGGCTGACTGCTGAGGGGGTTCCATTTTCAGAGGACCCAGCAGAGGAAGGGCTTGATGTGGTAAAGTGTGGGTTTTAGGTAGTTTTTGTGTGCGGTGCAGACAGTATCAAGTTTTCTCGGCATCATTTATTGAGGAGACTTTCCCCGCTGTGTGTCCTCGGCAACTCTGTCGTAAATTAACTGACCACATATGTGTGGGTTATTTCTGGGCTCTCTGTCCTGTTCATTGGTGCATCTGCCTGTTTCTGTGCCAATTCCACACTGTTTTTGGTTCCTGTAGCTTTGCCGTGTAGTTTGAAGTCAGGGAGCCACACGACTCCAGCCTGTTCTCCTTTCTTAGGATCACTTTGGCTGCTTGGGGTCTGTTTTGGTTCCACACAAATGATAGGATTGTTCTGTTTCTGTGGAAAATGCCACTTTAATTTTGTTAGAGATTGAATTGAATGTGTACACTGCTTTGGCTAGGTAACGTTTTAACAATATTCTTCCAGTGCTGGACCACGGAATATTTTTCTATTTGTTTCTTCTTCAATTTCTGTATCAGTGTCTTATAGTGTCAGCATGCAGGCCTTTCATGTCTTTGGTTAAATTTATATCTAGGTATTTTGTTCTTTTTGATGCAATTGTAAATGGAATTATTTTCGTAATTTTTCTTTCTGATACTTTTTTATTAGTGTATAGAAACTCAACTGATTGCTTTTGTGTCATGCAACTTTACTAAATTCATTTATTACCTGTAACAGTTTTTTTGGTGGTTTGTTGTGGAAAATTGTAATTCAAAGATCCCATTGTTTCTACTATATCCCAGGTCATATGCAGCACCCAAAACATAGTGGCTCTGAATATAATCTTCCTGTGGTGCCTCTTAATAACAGGAGGACTCTTACAACAGCAATTAGCTTCACCACTTTGGGTGAACTGGATCTGGGTAGGGCTTGTCCCCTATAATGAAATTTGATGTCCTCTCTGCTTTTCTGGCATGGTATTGACATGGTTGTTTTGAAAAGTTATTTACCTTCCAGTAATTTCAAACATACAGAAAACTTGTAGTAGCAGTAAATGTACTCTTAATCTGTAAATTCAGATTCTCCAGGCATCACTGATATTCCACATATGCCAATTTAAATGACAACTTCCAGTGTGTTTTATCCCAAAAGGGACACTCTTCCAGGGAACACCCACATAGCCCCCAAATGAAAATCATTACGGTTTTCATCTTCTAATCCAATCCACAGGCTCAGTTCAACTTTCACCATCTGGCCCAAAGCATGAAAATGTTCTTAAAGAAGTTGCCTCACTTTCACAACCTTGATGGATTTAAAGCACACAAGGTAAGTATGATCTGGGTGGCCTTTTGTGTATGGTTCTGTTGCCTTGGGATGTTTTCAGTGTTCATGCATGTTGTAACATGTATCAGTACTTCATTCACATTTTCCATTGTGATTAAACCTATTGAACATAATACTGACTAAACGATTTTAAGCATACAGTTCTATGACATTAACCACATTCACATTGTTGTACAAGTATCCTCACCATCTATCTCCTGTATATTTTCATTTTTCCAAGTGAAACTGCATCCATTAAACACCAACTCTCTTCAACCCTTGTCAACCCCATTCTGCTTTCTGTCTCTGAAATTTCACTTCTCTGGATACCTCATAGAAGTGGATCATATATCTATTCTTTTGTGACCAGGTTATTTCACTTAGCAGAATGACTTTAAAGCTTATTTTTGTTGTAGCATGTGTCTGATTTTCCTTAGTTTTTAAGGTTGAATAATATAATTCATCTATCCATGGACACTTGGGTTGCTTCCACCTTCTGGCCAGTGTGAGTAATGCTGCTATGAATATGGGTGTACAAGTATCTGTTTCACCCCCTGCTTTCAAACCTCTTATGTATATTCCCTGAAGTGGAACTCACGGATCGTGCATTAATTTATGTTTGAGATTTTGACAGACTGCCATACTGTTTTCCACAGCTGCTGCACCATTTTACTCTATTTCTGTAGATGGCAGAATAATATGGAAGTTTGCAGATCTGCCCTCTTTTGCTTATCCATTCATCCACTGATGGCTATTCAGATTGTTTCTACCATTGGGCCAGTGTCAACAATGCCGCCATGAATATTCATGTACAAGTTTTTGTTTGAACACCTGTTTCAGTTCTTTGTGGGATATATCTAGGAGTGCAGGTCTTAAACCCAAATCTCGTTGTGTTTTCATCTTTTTGAGGAAATGCCACACTATTTAACATATGGTCTGCACCATTTTACATTTCCACAAGCAGTGTGTAAGGGTTCCAACTTCTCTACATTGTTGCCATGATTTTTATTGGTTTGTTCTTGATTATAACCGTTTATTGTATGTGAATGAATGTCACATTGTGGCTTTAATTTGCATTTCCGTCATACTATGAAAGAAATATACCTAAGAGGATCTTATTAGAATCTCAAACGTCAGGATACTGCTCAGTAGAAATAGTTGTTATATAACTGAAAAGTAGTAACATTCCCCTTAAATAAATGTTAAAAACCATTAAGCACAACAATCCACCAAAATTTATTACTATACCACTACCACTCACAACCCAAGCCCACCATAAATTTGTGAAGGTTTTGAAGAAAAGCTAACAACAAATCTAACTACAAAAATAGTACTTAAAATGAATGCAATGTATGTCATTATTATTCTCACATAAAATGTAACCATAGCCAGTGCCATGAAAAATTATTGTATTTCAACTGTAGGAACACTGTAATGACCAACATTCAAAAGTCCCACCCATTATTAAAAATTGGTAACGCATTTATTGATCTACCAGCCCCATCACATATCTCATCATGATGAAATTTTCGTTCCCTGCTTGACATCTGTTAAATTTTACAAATCTTAACAGGTTCATTCCTAGCAATACATATCTATCAATATGTAAACTACAGATTGACTATCTGATGTTTATATGCAAACAGAACTTCCATATTCTTTATTTGCTTGTTTATCCATGTAGGTCAAGGCCTGCATTATGGATCTTACACCTTCCTAGAAATATGAAACATTGGAATCATCCTCCTATTTAAGGTAATAGCCACAGCATTTATAGATTATGTCTTACCTTGGGGCTAAATATCCTTCTGAGGAACAACGGTCCACATTGGGTGTTAATGAATTAAATATAGTGGACAAACACATGGGTATGTGCTGACAGGGAGGAATGCTGTAGGCTACATGTATTATCAATCGTATTGAATTGTCACACAAACAGTGTCCGTATGCTGGTAGCATTAGACTTAAAGCAAGCAGTGACATATGTCATGAGTAGCTTGATAGGAAAGAAATGATAATACATATTATGAAGTAGTAATCATCTGTGAAGCAGAGTGAAAAAAACTGTCTCTTTCTGAGGGGTACCAGCTAAACAGGTAATTTATTTATTGTTTTTATTTATTTATTTTATTATTGGGGTATAGTTGTTTTACAATGTTGTGTTAGTTTCTACTGTACAGTGGAGTTCCCTGTGCTATACAGCAGGTTCTCATTAGTTATCGATTTTATACATATTAGTGTATATATGTCAATCCCAATCTCCCAATTTAAACAGGTAATCTAAAGGGTCAGTTTTTCTTACATCTTGTAACCATTTTGCCTCTTGGGAAATTCTTTCTAGGCGTGTCTCAACTTCTCCAGAGGTGTTGATGAAAGCGCAACAAGCAGTAAGAGCAATAGCACAAACACCTGCTTGTTTAGCCAGTAGAGAATCTAAGGCGACCTGGTTATCTGATACTAATTGGACTAAGAGATTTAGGGATGTCTGTAGTGCTGCCATCTCTTTGGCTATTTGACCAACGGTGGCTGGTAAATTTCTGATCATCTCTTTGTTCACATACACTCCTGCATTAGGAACCAAGATTCCCCAAAGATTTTGCCAGGGGTATCTTGGTATCTTGCTAACATAGATTGCTTGACTCCATAAAGAAGAGAGAAAGGAGGTTCATCTATTTCCTGAGGTATAGACAATGGGGTATCATAATGTCCTACTAAACATAAACCTGCTATTTGTCAATTAAGGGACAGAGGGAGGGGGTCCTTGGGTAAGTTGTGCTCAGTCCCTAAGGACCGAAGATAGTATCAGACAAGGGATGGACATATTAATATGTTGAAGAGTTTAAACTTGAAAGTTTAGGTCAGAGGGAGGTTGGTCTGGGTGAGTGGTCACATTAGCAACATCTGAAAAGTCAGGGATAGGTATTTTGAGGGCCTAGCCCAGTAGCTGTGCTTTGTGACAGCTTTACTAAAGAATTTTCTTTCCATCCTGAATATTGGGGCAAAAGTATAGCTAGAAGTAAAACAGTAACTTTCAATTTGGATAGGGAGACAAACATTTGGTAGACAGTTTAATTGAACTAGTAGGATGGATCTTACAGGCCTGGTACCGATTCTTGGGTCAACTGTCTATCATCACTGTTGTCTTCCTCTTCTCGTCCTGGCTCGATGGTTGTTTGTTTTAAGGTAAGTTTGAGGTGAGCAGTCCCCTCTGTAGACCAGTCCAATGCAGAGACCCTTGTTAGGTGGGAAATGAGTTCAAGAGTTCATTCCCTTCAGTTTCACTGTGCATGAGCTAGTTAAGAGTACCTGATAAAGGTGGGTCCATCCATTTAGGTTGGAAATAGTCCTTCAGATGATGTCTTTTACCAGTCTGCACAATCTCCAAGGTGCAGGTCATGGAGCATCTGGTCTTCATCCAAAGATAAATCACAGTAATCAGATTCAGAAACAAGCTTCAAATATCCTTTTAATAATTTTATTAAACTTTACAATAACATAACATAACAAAGCATCACCTTGAATGTAGGTTGTAAACACAAGACCTCAGGATATATAAAACCTCAATATCTGCAAAGGTATACTATTGAAACTTAATTTTTCTCTCTAAATTATCCTCATTTTGACCAAACATAGTCAAGACTAATTTTTCTGCAAAAGAAGTCTGGTTTCAATACAGTTGGCCTCATTATTTGCATAGGTGTAACTGATCGTATAGGCTCTTCTAAATTTATATTTATTGGAACTTTTCCTAAGGGATCTCAGTTTGAACTTTTAAAAGGCCTCTCAAGGCCAGGAAAGCCGTGACATTAGGTTCAACCTGCAATACCTGCAGATTTAGGTGGATTCCTCTCTTCTCAATTTCCAAAGTATCTTGAGGTTCTTACAGAAAGTGGCCTTCCTTATTCACCTGGAAAGTCTGCTAGGAACCTAAGAGATTCCAAATTAAGGAGGAATCAGGTAGGGAGAAAAGATAAATGCTTCGATTCTTACAAAGGTTATAATTTACAAAGGTTATAATTATAACCTTACAAAGGTTATAATTTACCAAAAAATTAGCTTAAGGGAAAAGGTTCCCTTTTATCTGGAAAGCAAAGATTAAAAGCCAGTAATATTTCAGACTAAAAGGCATAAAAACCATAATCATGTTTATCAGTTCACTCAATCCCATGAATCCCATGTAATTAATTTTTGTTCTGCTTGAGTCTAGTTTTTCCTTTAGTTTTGTTGACCTTGCCTGATGATTGAGGGTGATGGTGACAGTGATACTTTTAAGAAGTTTGAGAGATTAAGTTAAAGTCTTGTAGGATTTGCGCAGTGAAGTGGGTGCTTTGATTACTGGAGATTGTGGAAAGTATACGCAGGTGGAAAGCACATTTTATAACCATTTCTTTTTTATTGTGAGGCAGCAATGGAAGGCTTTAACCCAGCGAATAAAAATGGGGTTTGCCAGGGGGCCGGGAAGAACTGAGCGGCTGTCTTGGGTTTCCCGTAACCCTGACTGTTTAATTCACAGCTATTATTAACCCATCTTAATTTTTCTGATTTAGGAGCAGACTGTCGCCATGTTACAGGGATATCAGGATGGCAAAAGTCTGACAAGGAGGGGTTGATATTTTGTAGAAGCAGAATGGCCTTTATCTACTTGTGCCATAATCTTCCTGTTGTTGTTGCCTTGGCATGAAGGGGCATTTCCCTAAAACTTGGGTCCAGTCCCTTTACTGGGAGCCTCAATTTTGATGTCAGAGAACATTTTATGTCAGGACATATAAGATTTCCAGGAATTTCATATAATTTCTAGAACATTTATTTGACAGTGTTTTCCTTGAAACTTAATAATAAACCAAATAAGCATAATTAAATCTCTCTCTTTGAGACACTTCAGTACAGTATCAATCACTTTTCCTTTATTCAATCCTTTTACTGAAAACACACCTCTTATTTTCCTTGAATGAAATGTTTACCTAGTTATTTCTACAAATGTAATTATGTATATGTTATAAGTTTTAACCCTTAAAAACCTTAATCCATAATGAAAACCAAGAAACAAGCAATTGTGAACTGTCTGTCACATTCGCATTTCCTGATTGGCAGGCTTACAAACATATTCCACAACCTCTAGAAGCATACATTTTCTCACAGCATGATTTCTTTTCTAAATGTGGTATAAGACATGTGTCCAATAAACCTAAACATCTTTAGTTTTTCTCCAATAATGCAAATTAGGTAAATTTAGACATGCTTAGCAATGAATGTGTATTTTTATCTTAATTGGAAATGATCTGGATAGTCAGTGAGTTCCCATCATTTAATTTAGCAAAACTCTAAAGTTTCAAGTTACCAAAAATCTGGAGAAACTATTTTTAGGTATTTTTAGGTAGTGGTACCATAAAACAATCATCTTTAAAGACTTCACCTGAGAACTTTTATCGTATTTATCTCTATTTCATCAGTTATGAATATATCATCATACCAAGTTAATTTTCTTGACAGATTTTCTAACAGAGATAACATGAACTCACTGACATTTAGTAAACCTAGGTACCAAATAAAATATTATACCTAATGTTGATGACTCTAAAGACATGTCTGCATTAGTCACCAACAACTTTTCATTTATTGAAGATTAATCCTAGATCACATGATCCTTTTAAAATTTGGGTTTTTTGTTATATTTAGAAATATTTGATTTTTAAGTGCTTATACTTAACTCAGTAAAATAGAGCTCTTTCACAAATTCATTTTGATAATATCATCTGGAGGAAGAAACATATTATAACATACACATAGGCATACTTACATCCAGATAGACAAAGAGATCTCATAGTTTTCCTGCTTGAGTTTTAAAATGCCTTTTTTACCCCTTCAGTTTTACATTCCAGTAATTGAGCCAAGGCTGCAGTCTCAGGCCATGTGGGCTGTGTTTGCATTTCAAGGACATGATAAGAGTACAGCTTCAAATTTTCTCCTAGGAGTACTTTTTTTCTCTCGGTGTCTGTCAGAATTTTGAAAAGATGTTTTACTAAGCCAGCTTTCTTTAATTGTGCATGTAAACTTCAGCTTTAATGTCAAAAAAAGTTCCATCCTGGCTCTTTCAGTGTTGGATAAGTGTTTGCAAGTACTAGCTCCATACCATTTGTAGAAGCCCGCCGAGTGCCAGTGGGAGCTGGTAGGCTCTAGGAGCCCTAATTTCCTGCTCTTTTAGCTTCATTTTATTATAAATTACAAATTTAATTTTCCAATTTTAAGCCATATATATATATATATATATATATATTTTAAAGTCAGCCAACCCAGTTCACTCAAATTCCTTCCAGGCCTTCCTGCTTAGAAATTCCCTGGATCCTCTGCCTAGGAACCTCTTCACCTAGGAAATGTACTGGTACCCTTTAAGACTCCAAGTCTTTAAGATAACAGCTCAAATAAAAGGCGTGGAGCATCACTTAATACAAGGAGATCTGATTATGAGGAAGAACTCACCGAATCACCTGAAGGATGCCCCGAAGCCAGAAGGGCTCAAGGGCCCATGCTTGGTCCCGAGCGCTGGTCCACAGTAGACTCCAGGTGACCTCAGGTGGGTTCATCTGCTATCCTGCCAGCTGCGCCAAGTTTTTTTTTTTTTTTTTTTTGCGGGGCGCTGGCCTCTCCCCCCTGTGGCCTCTCCTGTCGCGGAGCGCAGACTCTGGACACGCAGGCTCAGCGGCCATGGCTCATGGGCCCAGCTGCTCCGCGGCATGTGGGATCCTCCTGGACCGGGG